AATATTCTAGGAAACGGTTTCAAATATATGATATGAATAATTTTATATTTTAAAATTGTCATTGTTCTTGCTATTTTGTATGAATATTACATATTTCTTAGAAAAATATTAGCATCTATGTAATCATATTTGTAGTATAAGTATTAAAATATGTGTTAAGAAATGTAAATGGTTTTTTTCATTCAATACTACTCGTAATAGTACCTAATTGATCGAATAAATGGATAGATATTTCAATAAATTTTGTTTCTGATCTTTGATCTCATACAAAAATCTTTTTTACATCTTTTATACATGTAGTAAATTCCAATTTTCTAAGCTTTCCGAGCAACTTTTCCATTTTTTCCCGAAAAACCTAATTGAGTTTAATATGATTTTATAAAAAAATTACCAAATCGGTCCAATCGTTCTCAAAGAATGTGCTTACCAATGAACAACTTATCACTAACTATTATTAATAACTACAAATTACATGTTAAAATAAAGAAAATTAAATAAAATTTAACTGATAAAATAACGTAATAAACAAAATTAATTGCAACTTTTTAATATCAAGGGTTGCCTCAGAATGCACCTAAGCCCACTCCCTGTTCCCGGAGGAGATTGCCACGTGCTGCCACTTAGCACTCGACGAACATTTAGAATTTTACAAAATGTAATCGCGTATTCTTTATGGCAAACGAAATAAAGAACAAATTCCTCTGCACGTTAGCCCAGAGATAACATCGCCCGAGACTCTCAAGAAGCTTTAGTAGTATAAGAATTGCTTCGACATGTTTAAAAATAGTGAATTGAAGTGTTTGGTAAATTGAATCTTACTTTAAAACTTTTGCTATATTTTTAACGAAAATAACGACGAGTAATTTATTTAATTACTTTAAGTTAACTAAGGTTCAAATATACTTATATGAGTGAACCTTCCTTTACGCAGATTCGGCTTAGTTACAATTTTATTATATGTATAGATGAAGTGCCTATCACTCATTAGTTTTACTTGTACCTATCTAAGTAATTACATCTAGAAGGAAGTAAATTTTAACCTGTTTCTAAATATCATATCGATTTGAAACCTTGTATTTGAAATTCGGATTGCAATATCATAATTTGATCATCGAGCAGGTTTGATGATGGATCCGGATTTCTATACAAATAAAAAATACAATGTGGGCTTTATTTCATTAGATTTAATGTGTTCTTTATATAATACTTGGTCAAAACCACAATTTTTAGTTTTTTTTATTCTCTATTTCTTTTGTATATAATAAATTATATTTATTTGAAAAGTCGCTTTAATAAATATAATAATTGAAATATCGTGAAACTTAAATGCAAAGCTTAATTTTAACTTATTTTACTCATCGATTTTAAAATGGAATTTTAAGTTTAAATTTTAAATTTAAATTTTAAGTTTTATACAAATTACTATTCACTATTCGAAGCTTTTCTGAGAGGGTTACGTTTTAAAATATATTTTCATTGTTGACAACTAACTGGTAACTAATATAATAAAGTAATTTAGAAAGCGCATTTTCGTTACATTCGTTTTAAGTACTTACTCAGGTACTTTGAATATTGCGACAGGTGAAAGGCTATTTGGTTTAAGCGACATATTCTTAACTTTACAGAAGAGCCAATTTAATGATTATTTTGAAAAAAAAATTCATTAAAATGGCTCCCTGTAAAGTTAAGAAAATGTCGCTTAAACCAAATAGCCTTTCACCCGTCGATTTTGAATGTACAAAAGTGAATTGTTAAACGGATATTCTAAACAAAAAATTATCATATTTACGAGTTTTTAAAAGAGTTGCTATAACAATAAATTTAATATAAGTACGGTGTGTTCGCAGGTATTCAAAATTTCAACTGTAAAATAATTATTAAAAGTAAAACAATGGAAAACTTTGCAGGGGACATCGTTTATTATTTTTTTCAACAGGGAAAGGTCGTAAATAAAAGTAAAGGGTGCTATTAAACGCATTATTCGCGCATATTTAATGTACTGGAAAGGCTAAAAGGTTTTTTTATTTTTCAACAGCTTTATATAAAAATCGCCATTTAAGTCTCCATTCAATACAGCGTTTATGTGATAAGCTTTATCTGATCGAAATTAGCCAATGAAAAATGTGATAGACGTAGTCGTTATTTTTTAAATGGAAAAATGCTTGTATGTTTATATTACTATGGTAATATGGTACAATAAAAACAAATTTAATTATAAGTTTTGAGTACATATTTATTTGAATAACTAAAATATACATATACACAAAATACCACTCGTTGATTATAATCGTTCACTGATTAATCAAAAGTATACTTTCTAAGTGTTACAAAGTGGTTAAAAGGGAGTTAGAAATTTGTATGAAATTCCATTATTATTAAGCTATGCGGGAAAAGATGGGGACAAATGCTAGTCTTGTATAGAATGAAATTCGAGACCAATACAGAAAATATTTAAAGAGAGTTCCTCCAAAGAGATATTAGGGAGAAAACAATAACATTCCACGCCTACATGATTTGATCTTCAGAATTAATAATTCAAATAGACGAAGTCGTCTTGGGGTCACGAAGGCAGGAGCCGCGAAATACATATAATAAAATATATCGAAATGGTTGCGGGCCGGCTTATCCGGTTGAAAGTCAATGAATATTTGATTTCAATTTTTTTTCCCAACGTCGCCGTAAAGTATTCACGCTATACCTAATTTGATTTTCGCCATTTCGGCCGTTCGCCGGGGCAGTTTGCATTCATATTCCGACTGAATATGCGTTCGGGCTGCCTCTAACCCGACTCTGATACAAATAAACATAGATATTTTCATATTATTTGCCAGGGCAACCCGACCCAACTTATTACGTTTTGGGGATAATAACCTGAAGTGCTATAAGAGACGCACTTTAGATTTTTATTTAACTGTTATTTATAAGTACATCGTATTAAGCCTGAAATTGTTTTTTATTTACTTGTTATAAATACATAAGAAAGAATGTTTTTATTTTCTACTAGCATTGTTTTTTGGTTTTACATATTAGTATACTCTTACATTGCAGTTTTTGTATTTTTTCTCAGAAATTAGACATTTTCCCGCGGTAAAAAGTATCCTATATGTTGACCCGGATAACCAGCTATCACCATACCGAATTTCATCTAAATCTCTCCAGTGGTTTTCCCGTGATGCGGTAACAGACAGACAGACAAAAATTCTAAAAACTATAGATTCAGCCTCTGTATCGATAATAATGTATATTTCAATAAAATTTGATAAAAAAATATTTAATGTACAGATTCGGCTTAGTTAAAATTTTATTATATGTATAGATTGATAAGATTAAATTAATAAATCCATTTCTTTTATTATTTATTAAAAGATTATGTAAATTATTCGATTAACAATATTTTATATTACAATATACGAACTTCAAAGATCGATTGAAGATTGCAAAAAAATGTAAAAGAAGCAAAAGCATTGAAGAAATATGAGCAAAATATTTTATTTCTTTGTTTGTCTAATTACAAAGTGGGGGTGACCTTAAATATTATCCAAATGACACGCAAAGGGCGTGAAAGTTGAAGGAAACAAGACGTTTTATAACTTACGCCGTTGTTATAAAACAATTGTTGGCTTGTCTCATAATGAAACAGCATTCGTTTTTGCAAACTTGCATAAATTACAGTAAGTACGGCTATATACTGAACTAGCATTGCCCGCGGCTCCGCCCGCGTTCAGATGACCAAAAACCAAATTCTTAGGTTTTACATATTAGTATACTCTTACAAAGCAGTTATTGTACTTTGTCTCAGAAATGAGATATTTTCCCGTGGAAAAGAGTATCCTATATGTTGACCCGGATAACCAGCTATCATCATACCAAATTTAATCAAAATCTGTCCAGTGGTTTTCTCGTGATGCGGTAACAGACAGACAGACACAGACAGACAGACAAATATTCTAAAAACTATAGATTCGGACTCTGTATCGATAATAATGTCCATTTCAATTAGATTTTCCAAAAAATATTTAATGTACAGATTCGACTTAGTTTGAATTTTATTATGTGTATAGATAATCGGGTCAACCTGTTTTTATATAATAGGGATCACAAAAGAAAATTTAACATTATATTTGCTGTAACTGTTACTAGGGAACCTTCACCGGCAAAAGATGGCGGCCCTTGATACGAAATCGTGGATTTGTTTTAATTAAAATCTTATGCGGTGTAAGGATAATGAAGGCAACTGATTCTACAATATACAAACCCTTAATTGTAGTATTTAGGTAAGCGTAATTTATTCGTTACAATATACGAAACATTGTTTGGAATATTTATTTTGAATGTGCTTTGTAATGAAATGAGTTGATTTTAATTTATAGCCTGTTTGTTGTCTTCCACGTTTCTAGTAACTTAGTATTATTTATTTGATTTATTATAAAATGTTATTTTTTTACATCATATAATCATTGCCTATATTTATTTAACATTTATTCCTAATAATGATCAATTTTTCACAAAATTTTCACTTTCTTTTCGCTTAATACAAATCTTTACAAAGAAACCATATATTTTATTCGGGCGTCGATTTGTTATTTATTAGTCGAGAATAGTCGTAACACGAGGGAGGGAATACAATATCGAAAACGGAGAACCTATTAAGTGACGGCTTTGCCTCCAAACTATGTTTTGCTTCGCTACGCTAGAGCTAACGTATCTACCATTTTTAGTTGAGCTTCGATGCCTTTTCTACGACATTGGTATTTGCTGATACTATAGATCACTGAATATGGTTATCATGTACTTGTATAATAAACTAAATGCAGTAAGGGACGGCAAATTTATTTAAATCTGATAATCTAACATCGAATCTCTATAGAAAGAAATTTTTATATTACGCCTTATCGAAAATCTATTTGCTTTATATTTAAGAGTCGAATTATAGTATTATTTGATTGTTTTTCAGTTATAATATTGGTGTAAAAGCTATTGTTAATTTAGCATTGACTTACCTCTGTGCCTATTCGTTTGTTTATCGAACATTAACATGGCGTCCTCGATCTGTAACAAAAAGACATAATATAAGTTGAAACCCTTAAAATTGTCAGGAAAAATAGTGAAAAACAAGGTCGTCGTGCGCGATTTGAACCCCGCCCCAGCAATAAAACACTCCGCCGCTGTAATAACGAATAAGCACCGGTACAGAGTAAACCACACGGTGCAAATAAACTTTGATAAGCGAGGGCGAGCAGGTAATAACGTATTCATAGAGAAATAAATGGAAAGTCGGCGGTTAGAACACGAACAATACACGCGAGTAGAGATGCGCTGTCACCGCCTGGGCTCCATCCCGAATGCCACAAAATTCGGCTTATTGTTACGTTTTTAAATCTCCCCGTGCCCTGACAAAGCCACGATACATACTTTATTGTGCAAAATTGCGTTATAATATTCATGTCAAAGCGGACTGACATCCAAATGGTAAGTTGAAAAAAACCTAATTAAACTTTCAGCGCTTCGTATAAGTTGTGTCGCGAGAGTTTTTTTGTTGAAATTGTATGTTTGTAAAAACCGGGCAAGTTTAGTATGACAGTAGGGCCCGAGGGTTTTGTCTGGTGTCAGAGTCGCCGTCGGCCGTTCCCTCGGGCGCCATTACGCGGGGCCTCGGTGCGACGCACTCCCGATGATCGATGTAGAATACCCGTAACAGGTGACCTTTTCCTGAATTATTCTTACCTGTAGAAATGTTTGTTTAGAGGTGATTTGTTAAAACGGGAATATGCTGTTGTTTGGGGTACTATATAATATGAATAGACAACTTTGTGGTAAATAAAAAAATTGATAGAAACATTTAAGTGATACTTTAAAAAGCTGAAATATAACTGTTAAGTTTAATTCAATATTATTTTTGTTAAACAGATTTATCATTAAACATGCAAAATATTGTTTGTGATAAGACTCTCCCGCCTCGCTGTTGTTGTAATTTATACCATAGTAAATTTTTCATTAGCTATAATATCCTAAGGCTTTGAAAAATATGAGTTTTTAAAATTCGATATATATAATATATAATATGTACAGATAACAGTAATTTAAAATTAAGAAATAAAAATGATAAACGAAATATCTTTTAATTTAGTAAGCTGGAATAATAAAATTTTCTTATGTAATAAAATTATGCCACGACAATGACAGTCGTATCATAGTCAAAATATATATTAGATGCTTTGATTTAATATCCAACGTATTAGTATGATAATATTATTTGTCTCTGACATCAAAATGATAAGATGAAAATATTACATTAGTTAATATATCCTAAAAAAATCTCTCTAAGCTTTTGAATAACTATTATATATAAAAAATCTTTTACATTGTCAGTTTTTACGAATGTTTTTACAGAAGGCACAAAGTAATTTCTTCAATAAAATTAATGTTTAAATAAATTGATAAAAATGTTAACTTCAAAAAAGATTCCGAGGAATTGAGAACCTCCTCCTTTTTGGAAATTGGTTAAATATTTTACAAATTAATATGAACCCATGACTTCCAAGTTACTAGATAGTGCCAACCAAATACTCAACCCACTGCGCTATATTAAACATCATTTCCAACAATTTCCATTGGTGGTTACCAACATGGCCTCCAATATTGACGATGTATTCCCCAGAGTAATGTTACGAAACTGAACTTTGGACCGGTGATCAATGAATTCCCGCGGGCCACATTAGGTGTTTTGATTTTATTTGTATATTTTCAAGTTTAATTAGTCAAAGCCTTATATTTCCTATATTTATTATTTTTTTGATAGCTTATCTCGTATTATTTTACAAGTAAATAAATCTGACCAAGATTCTTCTCTAATTTTCTTCTTTAAAAATATTTTAAAGAATAGACTTGTTTATTATGGCAGCACTGAAACGACTTCGCGCGTTGTTATGTTGTAAACAACGCGCATTATTTTTACTTCAACTTAAGTACTTCGCGAGTTTAAATTTAATCTAAGCTTTTGTTTAGTGTCGCGTCTACATTTGGCTTTGTTTATGGCAAAGTTACGACGAACGTATGTAAGTTAAAGTGGACCGCAGTTTATATTTGTAGAGTTTGATGCTGGAAATTATATAACTATTATGTTACGTCCCTCAATGCTAGTATAAAGTTAACTTTAAAGCGACAGTAGTCACGTAGCCTCAAGTGTTCCGTAACAAGTAGAGTCCTAATAAGAACATTTATGGACACATCGCGACGTGGCCAGTCTAATTCGCCTTTTAATATTCGACCAATGTGTGGCGACCTCGTGCGGAGTTCTCTAGAACTTTGCTAATTCCACTTTTGCTGAAATATTTTTCATAGCGGCCAGATGAGTGAGCGAAATAATTGGAGACCATGTATGTTGTATGCGCTTGGAATTTTTATGATTTAGTCCATTATCGTGGGACAAACGTTTACAGATTGTTTATGCTATTGTTATATTATGTACTAGCTACTACCCTACCCGCAACTTTGTACGGGTTTCATAAAAAAGTTTTGTATAAAAATGTTACTTTAATATATCTAAATTTGTAACATGATTTTACTTTATCTCTCTAAAACCCTTTCTTTACGGGGTCCCTAGGACCCCACTACTACACAGACTATCTATATATATACAGCATTTCATGATCCTAGGCTTAGTATATGCACATATAATATAGATTTAATAATCTACAGTTATAGCATAGAAAATAAAATTTAATAACTAGCTTCAGTATAAAGTGACTTTTAAAGAATCATAGACTAAATGTACGTGTACTAATAACAATTTTCTCTAATGTGGCTCATTCTCACTAAGCATTGTCTCTATTATTAGGCATTTTATTTAAGGGGGAAACACCCGCCAAGTCCCCTGAGGTACCTGTCGCATTAATTTGCGTCGTAGGCACGTTTAAGAGTGTCTCGAAACTTTAATTTTTTCTTTGTCGTTTCCGAGATTTATTACAAAGCTTTTATCTTTACATAATCTGAAATCTCTGTTTTGTGTCGAATTATATACTTTTGTATTTATTTAGAATATAATTATGATTAACTAGCAACTCACCCTTGCTCCGCTCGGGTTCGTTCCTAGTTACGTTTGAACGTTTAGTATATATTTCTCAGAGATGAGATATTTCACTGCAGTAAAAAGTATATGTTGATCCGGATAATTAGCTATCATCATACCAAACTTCATCAAAATCTGTCCAGTCGTTTTTTCGTGACAGGCGTTTCCAAACAGACAGACAAAAATTCTAATGTTTGCAATCTTCTAATTTAAGAAAAATATTTCTATAGTTTTATTTCCACTAATAGGCAATAATATATCTAACTACTATATTCCTTCTGTATAGTTAGTCGCTTTAATAGAACTAAAAATCACATAGATATTTAATCTGTGTAGTATTAAAGTACTATTTTTTTAAAAAGATCAATGGATACCGTAAAAACTATTTACCTAAAAAATAGATAAAAGATTAAAACTTTTAATATGCTGCTATCATTAACGTAGGGCGTGAACGGAAATGTACAAAAGGTACAACAATCTAGGGTACGCTTGGCGAGAACAATTGTTGAATTACGAGCATTACGTTCGGCAGTACAATTCATCAAAGCAGGCATGCGATATCGCTATTTGTGAACCCAGCATTTGTCAGAGCTAGTATCTGCACAATCACTACGTTTGTCCAGCTGTTTGTATGTGTGCTCGTCTAAACGGACGCTCACAGACACTGATGCATGTTTGTAAACACCCTGTTTGTGCTGTATCGAGATTATACATGCTGTCACACTGAGCTATTAATGCAAAAATTGATTTACTATGCTTACGTATTATTTGTAAGTATTTATTTGGAAATTATAACTCATTCGAAAAAATTATAAGAAACTTTGTTTATGGGGTATTTGTTTTAAATTCATTTCTAACACACATTAGAAGTGACTCAAAACAATCATATGAGTACCAACAGAATGGTGTATTCTCATTAGACAGGCGTTGCTTTCAGGTCGTAACTTATATCATCACCACAGACTTTACCTGTCAGTGTGACTCATTCAGTTAAATGAGAACTGTTTGTATCTAGAAATTATCCAACAATGCGATTGTTTTCTCACTTTGGTCACTTAAGCGGTTACTTTGGCAGTTTGGAAACCGTCCGTCCGTAATGGTCAGCTTTCCGTCCATCAAACACCAACTATTTCTGGAACAATGCGTCTTGTATTCGAGTTTAGCTTTCTTGATATATTGATTTTGGCTTCGAAAAGTATCAAGTTAGAATGTGTAGCGAAGTTTATATGTAAGTGTCTTATTCGATGATTTCAAACTAAAGTTTATTCAGTATAGACAAATATAACTCAAATTTAAAACGAGTTATTATTATTATAAGCATTATTGTGCAAAGTAAAATAGTTGATTTTAAATTTAATATGATTTTAGTACATACTAATATAATTAAGCTAAGCAGATTGTCTTACTTAAGTTGATTTTGCATAAAAAACATTATTCAATGTTTGTGACACATTCGTAGGAGCGAATTTTAAGCTCTTTGATGTAGGTACACAAAATCGGACAAGGGATGGTTCTTGTGGATTGAATCTGTAAACCTTTCCTATGACCAGTGGCCCACAAATAGGTTTAGTGGTCGACATGCAAACTTTTTAATAGAATAAATCTGTATTTATGATATCAAAAAGAAATAATATTAAATAATATTGCATATCTAACTTTTAGTTTTATCAAAATGTTTAAAGATAAAAATATACTCATTTTAGTCTCGAAAGCGGAGTTGCTCAAGTTTCTTCATTGTTTAAAATTCTGTTATTTTCATGTTATAGCGGTAGAATCAACAGGTTGCCCTATGCTATGTTGCGAGATGAGCTAAGAAAATTACAATTTCCTATTTGGAAAGACACTTGATTTTCATGAAAAGTATTTTTGTATATTTTTTTAAATCTACAACTCCTTAATACAGAGTTGATAAAACTTATTGTAGTAATATACCAACCACGCTTACTCAATCTAAACATCAATAATCTGACCAAGTAGGAAG